AACTACAATATTAACCAGTATTTTTTCTATTAATTGTAGTTAACTTTGATATTTCAGATTTCGATACTACTAGTAGATCCTATATATGATATGTATTCCAATAATGATATTCATATCATTATTATGAAATTCTACTAACTGGTCCTTCATCATGCTAAACAAAACAGGCAAGACACATTTCCTATATCTGATTTATTGTTAGGCTTGAAAATCTGCCGTAAAACGAAAAATTAATTAAATGCATGTAGGATGTGAGGTAAGAATAAATAATGATATATTCGTTTTGAAGTCGTTTTAAAACCTACTCAAAACGAATATAAACATTAATAATTTTTACTACAATATTAACCGGTATTTTTTCTATTAATTTTATTTAAATTGTATATTTTGGATTTCAAAACTACTAGTAGATCATATATATGGGATGTTATACATTGATGATATTCATATCATTATGAGAAAATTCTACTAACTGGTCCTTCATCACTCTAAATAAAATAGGCAAACCACATTTCCTATACCTGATTTACTGTTAGGCTCAAAAACCTGCTTAAACCGAAAAATAGATAAATGCATGTTGATTGTGAGTTAAGAATTAATTATAATTATATTCGTTTTGAAGACATTTCGAAAATTATCAGCTACGAAACCTATTCAAAACGAATATAAACATGAATAATTTTTACTTCAATCTTAACCGGTATTTTTTCTATTAATTGTATTCAAATTTTATATTTCGGATTTCGATACTACTAGTAGATCATATATTTGGGATGTATTCTAATGATAATATTCATATCATTATAAGAAAATTCTACTAACTGGTCTTTCATCATGCCAAACAAAACAGGCAAGACACATTTCGTATATTTGATTTACTGTTAGGCTCGAAAACCTGCCTTAAAACAAAAAAATGATTTAAATGCATGTTGAATGTAAGTTAATAATTAATAATGGTTGTATTCATTTTAAAAAGATGTTTCGAAACCTACTTAAAACGAATATAAACATAGGTATTTTCTACTTTAATTTTTACTGTGTTTTTTGACATTTATTGTATTCAACGTTTATAAATAGTCTTTTGTGTCTAGTAGTAAATCAGATCTATAGGATGCGTTCTGCCTGATTCATCTAAGTTGACGATATACTTATAAGTTGAATTTTTTAACAATCACATGTGTCTCATCATTTTAATACATCTAAATTGTATGATCTATAAGACGTTTCGATATCCAACCCATAAACGAAAAGTGAAATACTTACTCGATTGCTTCATCGGCAATCCCACCACACAATATGATATTATAATTTGCCTGATCGTTCATCTTGAATTTAACATCTTCCCTGTGACAAATTGACAATGTGATTCACAAGCCAATACTATGCGTTGCACCATCACACTTTCAGTCTCGTACGGAGGCACTGATGTGATCTACGAGATGTAGAAAATCCAGTCCACCCTGAATGGGAATACCTATTTCGAAGCAAGACCATGTGAAATTCCCATATTATTGGGAGAATATTTAGATACTGGGCCTTCATACCTCAACAGAATAGATGAATATATTACATATATTTAATGTATTGACTAAATATTTTTATTTTGAAATCAAATTTAATGTTAAGCTTATAGACGAGCTGCATAGTTGAGGCCATTCCTCCTCATGCTCAGTTTCTAAAATGTGTTGGCCTACCTGCACTTTTGGTACCATAATGTCTCTATAGGCATTTTATTGTTTAACCACTTTTTTATCGAATCTGGTGGCATCTATCTTCAACCCAAAATAGTCCACAAATATTGTTCTAATGACATCATGGCCTGTTTGATTAGGCCCTCATTATTTTCAGCGATGACACAAGAAGAAACAGTCAAGATATGAAAAAAAGATTTCTGTTGTTTCATTAGCAATGATCTCTATCAGCATGTTTTATATTTCTCAAACTCAGTTATTTCATTTTCTAACTTGAAGTGTGAGTATTAGCAAAAATAAAAATTATAATT